GATGTGGCCTCGGACCCCCGGCAAGTCACAGGGCGGCCCTGAGCCCGGGCTCCAAGCCTTTGAGAGGAGGGTTGTGCCCCACTTGTTGTAAACACCCCGCTGTGCTGTGTGGCCGCGTTGCCGCCCAAGAACTGAGGGGCGAGGTGGGGATTGGACGCACGTCTCTGTCCAGGGCCCTAAGGGGACCTGCGCAAGTCCCTGGGGTGCCCCGGCCGAGCTGGGACCTGCATTTGCTTGGAGCTCCGTTCCACGGTCCGCCGGCCTGGGCACCACCCTGGACCGGGGTCAGGTCAGCCACGGCCATCGGCCATTGGTCATCGGGAGGTGAAAGAGGCTGGGCTTGGGCGGGGGGGTTCGGCTGAGGCTTCGCCGACAGACCACCCTGGGGCCCTGGATCCTGGCAGGCCCTGCTCTGAGCCCCTGCCCAGCGGACACACCAGAGGAGGCAGGGGCTGCCCCTGGCATCGTCCTCCGGGGGCAGGTGGGAGCCTCCAGAACCTGCTGGGCAGGGGCGCCTCCTGCCTGATCTGTAAAACGTCGCAGGGAAGGACGCGGGAGGGGGGTCAGGAGGGGGCCCGGGAGTGACCGGGAGCACACGCTGGTCCCACCCCCCCACGCGGCTCCCACCTGTACGGCTGCTCCCCGGTGTGCGTCCTCAGGTGTCGCGTGAGGTTCGCGGATCGGGGGAAGATCTTCCCGCAGTACCTGGGGGTGGGAGGCCGTCAGGAGACCCAGGGGCCAGGTGCTTCCTGGCGCAGCCCCCCTCTAACTGGGCATCTAGTCCCCCCCAGCTCCTCCCCCGGGGCAGGTGGCCAGCTGCACAGCCTGCACTTCAATGTCTCCTGCAGCCCCAGCGCCCAGCTGAGCTTTACAGAGAAGCCACTAGCGGACGGACTGTCCTGCTGGGGCCTCCGGGCCGGTTCCCTCCTCAAACATCATCTCAGCCCGGAGCCCAGGGTGCTGCGCTGGCTGAGACCGGCTGGAACCGGCTGAGAAAGGCAGGTGCCGCAGGGGACAGACACAGTGGTCTCTTCCCCAGGCTGGGGTGTGAGTCCCCACCCAGAGCCGCAGATCAACCTCGTGCAGCCCTGGCCTCTGCCTCTGGGATTCCCGCTGCCCGCCCGGCCGGCAGCCACTTTCTGAGCTCATACAGCTTGGGGGGAGGCAGCGGGGGCAGGGGGTCCACCCCAAACAAGAACGTGAGGATCGCGGACCATTTATTGCTGCGCTGCTGCAGGTTGTGACTGGGGTTTCCCTGGAAAAGCAGGGCCACGGGCTGTGCCGGCCCCTGTGGCCCCCCCCCCCCCCAGGGCGCCCACCAGCCCAGGGCCCCCGGGAGGCTCACCTGCAGGTGTAGCGCTCCTTGCCCTTCCTGAGGATGGGGTCGGAGAGCGTGGGGGGCGGGGAGCGGAAGTTGAAGGGGTGGTGGGGCAGGGGCTGCAGGGCGCTGGAGTCCGCCTTCATGGCCGCGAAGCTCTCCAGCTTCTCCGTCATGGTCTCAATGGCCGACATCTGTTGGCGTGAGAACGGGAGAGGCTGGGGGACTCCCCGGAGCCACCCCCTCTCTCTGACTTTTTATTTTTTTGGTTAATCCTCACCCGGGGATATTTTTCCATTGGTTTTTAGGGAGAGAGGGAGAGAGAGGGAAAGACAGAGAGAAGCATTGATGTGAGAGAGACACAGCGATTGGTTGCCCCCTGCCTGCACCCCAACCAGGGCCCGAGTGGGGAGGAGCCTGCAACCAAGGTACATGCCCTTGACTGGAATCGAACCCGGGACCCTTCGGTCCTCAGCTGATGCTCTATCCACTGAGCATGCCGGCCAGGGTCCGCCCCTCTCTTGAAGCGTGGGGACCCACCCATGGGTGTCGGGTCCTCAGTGACAGAGCACAGCAGGGGCCAGGCCGGGACGAGAGGCCACACGGGCCTCAGGCCGTCATTGGAACCAGATATCCTGGCGTCTCCTCGACCCTGGGCTGGATTCGTCCACCGACCGCGGCCCCAGCCCTGCCCTGGTCCGTCCCCAGAGCCCCCATCACCGTCCGGGGTCCCGGCTGTGGGAGCTGGAGCTGACCTGCAGCCGCCCTGCCTGGCCTGGGACCCAGTG